CCGGACAGACCTTTCCCCCAAGCCCGGATGTCCGTCGAGGGCCCAGTTTCATCATCCACACCCCAGCAAGAGAGGGCAGAAGGGCATTGGATGGGTTGAGGGAGGGTTTTAGTGGAAGAGGGCGCAGAGGTGGAAGGATCAGTGTTTTGATATGTGCAAGTGGCAAGCGGGAGTTTTGACCCATGAGCTGTACCAGTGTCCCCCACGAGAAGAGCCAGGGAGGCAAAGATGATGGATGATGACAGTGCGGAGCAAAATCAAATACACACGATATTCCGGGTGCTTCCGATGCGGGATGCCGCAGTCCATATGCAACAGCTGGAAGACACAGAGACAGTGTCCGTACAGGGGATTTTTGATCCCGACGGTGGCAATGATGATGTATGGGTGTCATGCAGGGCAGATGAAGCAGGCGTGGAGACAGCGGCTGAGAGAGTTCAATGTGGATGCAGATGATCAGGAGGCGGTGATTGAATTTTTGGGACAGAAGGTTGAGGGGCAGGGCATCGAGCACAACCGGCTGGTGGAGATGTTTTGTTGGCTGCGAGGAATATATCAGGAGGCAGAGAGGGGGAAGATGGAGTCAGAGGGTACAGAGGTCAAGTGATATCATGGGTGAGGGGCACATCACGGGTGAGAGGCACCACAGGAGGATGAAAGATGTATATATATATAAAGGCAGGTGAAGCAAGAGACAGAGGGTAAAGGGATATAACATCAAGAGAAAGTAGATCAGGTTCAAAGGATCAGTTTCAAACAGTATCATCCCATATGATAATGGGTCAGGGTCAGGGTTACAAAGAGTGAGGGTAGAGGCTGGGGGGAAGGATGAGGTGGTCAGAGTCAGGGTTAGGGTTGAAAAAGAGTGAGGCTAGAGACAGGGGTGGGCAGTGAGGTCAGGATAGGCGGTTAAATTAGACGCAAACCCGTTAACCCATTGAAAGTCAAACCCGTTGGACCCAAACCCGTTGGACGTCGAACCCGTTGGATGAGGAAGTCGAACACGCTGGACCCAACCCGTTGGACGTCAAACCCGTCCCAGGAGCGCATTAACCCGTTGGACGTCGAACCCGTCCCAGGAGCGCATTAACCCGTTGGGAGTTGAACACGCTGGACCCAACCCGTTGGACGTCAAACCCGTCCCAGGAGCGCATTAACCCGTTGGACCCGAACCCGTTGGATGAACCCATCAACCCGTTGGACGTCGAACCGGTTGGATGAGGAAGTCGAACACGCTGGACCCAAACCCGTTGGACGTCAAACCCGTTGGACGTCAAACACGCTGGACCCAAACCCGTTGGATGTCGAACCCGTCCAAGGAGCGCATTAACCCATTGGACCCGAACTCGTTGGATGAACCCATCAACCCGTTGGACGTCGAACCCGTTGGATGAGGAAGTCGAACACGCTGGACCCAACCCGTTGGACGTCAAACCCGTCCCAGGAGCGCATTAACCCGTTGGACGTCGAATCCGTTGGATGAACCCATCAACCCGTTGGAAGTCGAACACGCTGGACGATTATATCAGAAGGTAGAGGGGCGGGAAGATCGAGTCAGGGGCATAGAGGTCAAATGACATCACAGGTGAGAGGCAGATGTTGACGAGCACCACATAGAGATAAAAGATATATGCATATATAAAGATCGATGAAGCGCATTAACCCGTTGGGAGTTGAAGACGCTGGACCCAAACCCGTTGGACGTCAAACCCGTCCAAGGAGCCCATTTACCCATTGGACCCGAACCCGTTGGATGAACCCATCAACCCGTTGGACGTCGAACCCGTTGGACCCAACCCGTTGGACGTCAAACCCGTTGGACGTCAAACCCGTTGGACGTCAAACCCGTTGGACGTCAAACCCGTTGGACGTCAAACCCGTCCCAGGAGCGCATTAACCCGTTGGACGTCAAACCCGTCCCAGGAGCGCATTAACCCGTTGGAAGTCGAACACGCTGGACCCAACCCGTTGGACGTCAAACCCGTCCAAGGAGCGCATTAGCCCATTGGACCCGAACCCGTTGGATGAACCCATCAACCCTATCCAACAGGTGGGGGTGGAATGGACGTCCATTCCATTTAGGGTTAGAAAACCTTAGAAAACCGACCAATCAGAGCAGGGCAGATTGGACGTACATTCCATTTGGTTTCAGACGTTGAACGTCCAATCAACCACGGAGTCAATTGACTTCAAACTTTGCATGTAGGCCGGAGTGGATATGAAATACAACATATCCAAATCAAAAGCGATAATTCCGCCGGGAAGGGGTTACATTGTGGTGTCAAAGTCAATGAGTTGAGGTGCGATGTTTGATGGGGTAAGCCATCAACCCAACTAAATATCTATATTTTCACCCAGGCAACGGAGCGGTGCAAAGCGGTGCAAGATCAACAAAGTAAATTAAAATAGCAAAATATATAAAAAAACCGAAAGGCTTCATTCTGGAGTGATTTTAAACACAGAAAAACAAACATTAGTCGAACACGCTGGACCCAAACCCGTTGGATGTCAAACCCGTCCAAGGAGCCCATTCACCCATTGGACCCGAACCCGTTGGATGAACCCATCAACCCGTTGGAAGTCGAGCACGCTGGACGATTATATCAGAAGGTAGAGGGGGGGTTTCAAAAATATGGGAGTTTTAAAGAGCATTATCCCATACAATAATGGGCCAGGGTTAGGGTTACAAAGAGTGAGGGTAGAGGCTGGGGGGGAGGATGAGGTGGTCAGAGTCAGGGTTAGAGTGAGGGGTGTTCAGGGGTCGAACCCGTTGAACGAACCCGTTAACCCGTTGGACCCAAACCAGTGGGATGAAACCATTTAAAAGTCAAACCCGCTGGACATGCCCGTTGAAGGTTATAGGGTTAGGGTTAAACTATCCAAGTTATACATAGTGCGTGGTCCGACGCGGCCCCGTCCGATTTTCTCCGTCCCTGATTGGCCGCCCGTGCGTGCTCCCGCTCCCGCCTCCGCGTGCCCGCAGTGGCCCGGTCGCGGTCGAGCTCCCTCTTCCCTTCCCTTCTGCGGCAGCCAGCCACCCCATTACTTCAAACTTTGCATGTAGGCCGTAGTGGATATGGAATACAACATATCCAAATTAAAAGCGATAATTCCGCCGGGAAGGGGTTAAATTGTGGTGTCAAAGTCAATGAGTTGAGGTGCGATGTTTGATGGGGTAAGCCATCAACCCAACCAGACCCAACTATATATATATATTTTCACCTAGGCAACGGAGCGGTGCAAAGCGGTGCAAGATCAACAAAGTAAATAAAAATAGCAAAACATATAAGAAAACTGAAAGGCTTCATTCTGGAGTGATTTTAACCACAGAAAAACAAACATTCACACCAGATCAGATCTGTCAAGTTTCACACAAAGACACTGAATGAAGGAAATATATATATATTCAATGCACAAGACAGACCCAACATCGACATGGAACATCAATTATTTATCCACTGTGAATCATACCTCATTATCATATGCCGCCGGTGCAAGCACGCTGTGTGGCCAACAGAGATTGAACGGCATCTGAAAGGCAAGGCCCATCAGCTAAAGCATGCGGTGGTTCAGCAGATAAAGGAGAACATTGAACAGTGGGACAATGTGGCTCGAGATACTACACAGTTAACACTGCCCACATACTACACAGTTAACACTGCCCACAATACTGAATGAACCAATCCCGGAACTACCCATTCAAGATGGCTACAGGTGCCAGCGGGATCCCCAGTGTCAGTATGTGGCAGGGAACATGAACACCATGCGCAAGCACTGGCAGAACAAG